GGAGGGCGGGAGGGAGGCCGGGCAGGCTGCTCCAGGTTGCTGTCTGCCGGAGAGGGCCTCCTTCCAGTGGTCTCTTCTCTTCTATTGAGCGGATTGCCTGTCTTTTCAATCAACACCATCTTGATTTCTATTCTAGACAGGGGTTGAGATATTTTGACATTGGAGAAGGTATGTTTAGCAACTCCAGTGGTTCCAAACACTTGTCGTTCTGTTCAGACATTGATTCATCCATAAACTGATGTTTATCAGTGATGTCCTTCCTAAATTTTGAAACAATAAAGACTCAAGAAGATGGATCTTTGTTAATAGGAGGACTGAACAGGAGTTTTAGTTCATTGGCAGAAATGATGGAATGTTCAACAGATAGTGGTCGGAGTCCAGGTGATCCATCCAGATAAAAGCAAAATTTGCCTTCTGTCTTAGGTATTTTATAATGAACCTCAGATGGATCAAATACAAAACAATGGAAGAATTTCGGAGAAATCTTGCGCCACAGCAGAGTGTAGAAAGGAGATCTCACCCTGACTGTAACTCTGCAAGCTACACAAGGAAAGAGGGATGATGCCATATAAAACCCGAATCTTTTATATGTCAAACACCACCATTAACATGATAAAAGACAAGCAATATATTTTTGCAAGGCCGTAATTCAGAGGACAAAAAAACTCATATGTAATATTGAAGAGTTTACAGCTTTTCAAGAGAGAGACAAATGACCTGATTCTTTTTTAAAAAACGAGCAAAAGATATGAGTAAACAACTCACAGGGTGGCAAATACAAATGCTAACAAGCAGATGAAGAGCAGAGCGAATTCATGAATAGTCAGGAAGAGGAAAGCAACACTTCAATATGAGTTTATTCTCCTCAGGATGCCGAAAGTTAATGAGCAATAATATTTATTGCCAGTGGGGATATGGGGAGATGGCTGCTTATATTTTTGGCAGAGACAGAGAATGCTTTAGTCTTTTTGGAACAGAATCTGGCCACATCTATTAAAGTAAAAAGGATGTATGTATCTTTTAATACAGCAATCTTTCCTGGGAATCTATCCCATAGAAATACAAACACTTGTGCAGTTCATTAAGATTTATATACAAGTGATGCTATTTCAGATTTGTTTTATTGGCCAAAACTTCACAAAAATGAATGTCCTTCAAAGAGGAAATGTGGAATAATGTATCTTCCTTTCGCGGTGTGGACTATTACATGGCCTTTAAAAAAGACTGAACCAGAGTAAACCCGTTTACCTAAAAGGATTTCTGCAAGGTATTCTTGGATGCGAAACAAAATATGGAGGTCATATCATATTCTCCCATAACCGAAGTAGTGGTGACAGACTTGATTCTGTGTGTATGTCCATGTAACCATGTCAGAGCATTTATGCTCTAGCTGACTTGTTAAAATTCCAAGGTGTTACAGTTAGGACAGAGCAATATCTTCCCTGGCTTTTGTTATATCTTACTTTGAAGTTCTGAATTAACAATAAGATAGTCATTCTTTATAGGCAGGAAAGAGGGGTGTGTGTGTGTGTGCGTGTGTGTGTGTGTGTGTGTGTGTGTGCATGTGTGTGTGTGTTTCAACTTTGCTTCAGTCTGCTAAAATTTGCTAATCTACAACTAGAGTGAGCAAGGACAAACACACACACACACACACACACACACACACACACGACACCTTTTCCCTATAATAGGTAGAAGAAGACACAGGGGTTCTGGGTGAGATGTTGAAATGAGAGCCCAGATGTTCAGGTGCTGGGTGCCTGGCACAGGCTGGCAGGATCAGATGCACATGCCAGGGAACACACACTCAGCGTACACACACAGTGTGCTCTGCTAGTGCACAGGTCTGAAACTCACGTGTAGTCTGAGCTCTAACCTGCAAACGGAAGAAGACTGAACTGCAGGATTTTTGGAATAATAAAATGATATTGTTTTTGAGCCCAGGACTTGTTTCACAAATGCTTCCTGGAAAGATGTTTTATGTTTGTAATATAAAATGACTCTCGTCCTACCCACCCCTAGACCTTAAAGATAAGGAGAACTGAGAGGGTTACAATGATAACTTTGCAGGTGGTACTGGAGCTTGAACTTACAACCTCATGTTAGTTAAGCAAGCACTTGACCACCTGAGCCACTTGCTAGTACACTGTTATACTGTTGGTTTTTTTATTTCAAGATAGGATCTTGGTTTATGTCAGGGCTGGTCTGGATTGTCAGCCAATTTGTGTTTCCTCCTCCTCCCCCTCCTCCTCTCTGAGTACTTTTCCTTAGCTTTTTCGCTCAAAGCTGTTGATTTAGGGCTTGAGCCACAGCTCAACATCTGGCTCTCGGTGGCTAATAGGAGGTAAGAGTCTCTCGGACTTTCCTGCCAGGTTTGGCTTTGACCTGCAATCCTCAGATCTCGGCTTCCGGGGAAGCTAGGATTACAGGCGTGAGCCACCAGTGCCCGGCTTGTTACAGTGTGTACTGTGTCATGGAGACAGTCTTCCTATGGTAGCCCAGCTTGGCCTTGAACTCGTTTTGCGGCTCTGGCTGGCCTCCCCCTTGAGGCCCTGAGTGCTGGGACTCTGGGTAGAGGAGCTTCCGTGTCCTCAGAAGATTCTTCCCGTTATTCGTGCGCGGTCCACATCCCTGAGCAGTGCGCGGTCCACATCCCTGAGCAGTGCGCGGTCCACATCCCTGAGCAGTGCGTGGTCCACATCCCTGAGCAGTGCGTGGTCCACATCCCTGAGCAGTGCGTGGTAGGTGCGTCCCCCTCTGCGCATCCTGGCTGTGCTACACAGACCCAGGTGACCGCTGGTCAGTCTGTGCCTTGCTGAGGGGATTTCCCCAGAGTAAGGATCAAACCCGGCCTCGCGGATCGGCCGCCGCTCACCGGGGCCTGCTGGGCCTCCCCGGATCGGCCGCCGCTCACCGGGGCCTGCTGGGCCGCGTGGATAGGCAGCCGCTCACCGGGGCCTGCTGGGCCTCCCGGTCGTTACCGTCGCCGGGGCTGCGCATCGGGTGTTTAAGGACCGCCGGCCGCCGCTGCTCGCGTGGCCGCTCCGCGGGGACGGCCCCGTCGCGGCCCTTAACGGTGCATTGCTGGCTTTGAGTCAGGGTCCCTTGGGTGGCCAGGCGGGCCTTGAACTCAGAACCTCTGCTCTGCGGCTTGCAGCCGCCTGCCCGGCTCCTGGCTGTGGGTCGGGGAGACACACGCGTGTCGGTCAGCTCGGCGGCCTTGCAAACCGGGGACGACCAGCAGGCCTGGCTCTCCAGCGGCCAACCAAGCTCAGCGAGCTGGGGCGGGGGTCACGGTTACCGCGGTGCACGCTGGCGGGGGGCGGGGGTCAGGGGTCACGGTTACCGTGGCGCACGCTGGCGGGGTGTCTCCGAGCCCCCGCGGAGGAGGAGCGGGTCCGCCGAGCGCGGCGGCGGGGGGGGGGGGGGGGGGGTCGGGGAGAACCCGAGGCTCGCGGCCCGGCCGAGGCCCGCGGGGTCCGCGGCTGCCTCCGGTGTCTGCACGCTGCGGCCGTCCGTCCTCCCCGGCCGTGGGTCGGTCTGTCGGTCTGTCCTGGCGCGGGAGCTGGGAAGGGGGGCTTTGGGGCTGTCTGCGTTTTTCCCGGCGGCGGCTGCGACGCGATCAGAGCGCGGCGGGCTTGGGACCGACTGAGGCCGGGGGCCGGGGCCGGGGACGGGGCCGGGGCCGGGGAGACGGGGGCCGGGGCCGGGGGCTGGGAGGGCCGGGGAGCCGGGAACCGGGGGACCCCCGACAGCGCGGCCCGTGCAAAGCAGCCGTCGCGGTTCCCCGTCCGGCTGAGGGAGTCGCGGGCGCCGCTGCCTCGCGGTGCTCAGCTCTAGTAACGCGGGCCTTCGCGGGCAGCGCGCCGGGCTGGCGCGTCCCGTCCACGCGGAGAGAGGGGTGCCGAGGCCGGCGTCGGGGTGCAGACCCTCCCCGCGGCTGCCCGCGCGCGGCCCGGCCCGCCGTGCAGGCCGACCCCTGAGAACCCCCCGCGCTCCCCCGCGCCCCGACTCCCCCCGCGCCCCGATCCCCCCGCGCCCCGATCCCCCCCGCGTCCCGAACCCCCCGCGCCCCGATCCCCCCGCGCCCCGAACCCCCCGCGCCCCGAACCCCTGCGTCCAGACTCCCCCCGCGCCCCGATCCCTCCGCGCCCCGATCCTCCCGCGCCCCGACTCCCCCGGTGCCCCGAACCCCCCCGCGTCCCGACTCCCCCCGCGCCCCGATCCCCCCCCGCGCCCCGATCCCCCCCGCGCCCCGACTCCCCCCGCGCCCCGACTCCCCCCGCGTCCCGACTCCCCCCGCGCCCCGACCCCCCCCCCGCGCCCCGATCCCCCAGCGCCCCGACCCCCCCCCCCGCGTCCCGACCCCCCCCGCACCCCGATCCCCCCCGCGTCCCGACTACCCCCGCGCCCCGAACCCCCCGCGCCCCGATCCCCCCGCGCCCCGAACCCCCCGCGTCCCGAACCCCTGCGTCCAGACTCCCCCGCGCCCCGATCCCCCCGCGCCCCGAACCCCTGCGTCCAGACTCCCCCGCGCCCCGTTCCCCCCGCGCCCCGAACCCCTGCGTCCAGACTCCCCCCGCACCCCGAACCCCTGCGTCCAGACTCCCCACGCGCCCCGGACCCCCACCGCGCCCCGTTCCCTCCCCCGCCCTGTTCTCCCCCCCCCCCCCCCCCCGCCCCCCGTCCCGAGGCCTCCGGGCTGCGGGTCCGCCCCGCCCCGCCCCGCCCCCTCGCCCGCTCTTCAGTCCGAGGAGCTTTGGGAACTTTCTAGACGGAGTTCAGCCGGCCCCGCTCTTGGCCTCCTGCGCGGCGGCGACCCCCGCCCGGTCCCCAGGCCCGGAGGACCCGCGGCGCCCTCCCACGGCTCCCCACGGAGTGGCGGCCCCGCTGCGGTGCCGGACCCGGACGGGACCCCCGGTGCACGCGGCGCCCCCGCGCCCCCCGCCGCCCGCGCTCCCGGGGGCCGACCCCGAGCTCCGGGCCCCGCGGCGGGCGGGCGCCATGGCGGGGTGCTGCTGCCGGTCGGCCGAGGAGAAGGAGGCGCAGCGCATCAGCGCCGAGATCGAGCGGCAGCTCCGCCGGGACCGGCGCGCCGCGCGCCGCGAGCTCAAGCTGCTGCTGCTCGGTGAGTCGGCGGGGCGGCGGCGGCGCCGGCATGGGGGGCGGACATCGGGGCGGACATCGGGGCCGGCATGGGGGGCGGACATCGGGGCGGACATCGGGGCCAGCATGGGGGGGGCGGACATCGGGGCGGACATCGGGGCCGGCATGGGGGGGGACATTGGGGCGGACATCGGGGCCGGCATGGGGGGGCGGACATCGGGGCCGGCATGGGGGGGGCGGACATCGGGGGGCTGACATTGGGGGACCGACATCGAGGGGCCGGCATCCGGGCAGACATCGGGGCCAGGCATCGGGACGAGGGGGGGGGGGCAGACATCGAGGCCGCAGGGGGGCCTGCGGGGCGGGCTCTGCCTCCTCGTGGTTCCTGTGGATGGGGGTCACGGGGCTCGGGTACCAGGCGCCCCGTCCGTCTGTCCGCTCTGTCCGGCGTCGTGGCACATCGCTCCAGGTGACTTTCCCAGACCCCTCCTCCCCTGCCTGGGAGCGGGGCGCGGGCTGACCCCCGCCCTGCTGGTTTGGTGGAACTCCCGCTGGGGCGCTGGGACGGTGGCAGGGGCTCCGCCTGGCGCCCTTCGGGGTTCAGCCCTAGGCGGGGGTTCAGCCCTTTCCTGGGGTTCAGCCCTTTCCTGGGGTTCAGCCCTTTCCTGGGGTTCAGCTCTAGCCTTGGGGTTCAGCCCTTTCCTGGGGTTCAGCTCTAGCCTTGGGGTTCAGCTCTAGCCTTGGGTTCAGCTCTAGCCTTGGGGTTCAGCTCTAGCCTTGGGGTTCAGCCCTTTCCTGGGGTTCAGCTCTAGCCTTGGGGTTCAGCTCTAGCATTGGGTTCAGCTCTAGCCTTGGGGTTCAGCTCTAGCCTTAGGGTTCATCTCTATCCCTGGGGTTCAGCTTTAGCCTTGGGGTTCAGCTCTATCCCTGGGGTTCAGCTTTAGCCTTAGGGTTCAGCTTTAGCCTTAGGGTTCAGCTCTATCCCTGGGGTTCAGCTTTAGCCTTGGGGTTCAGCTCTATTCCTGGGGTTCAGCTTTAGCCTTAGGGTTCAGCTTTAGCCTTAGGGTTCAGCTCTATCCCTGGGGTTCAGCTTTAGCCTTGGGGTTCAGTTCTAGCCTTAGGGTTCAGCTTTAGCCTTGGGGTTCAGCTCTAGCCTTGGGTTCAGCTCTAGCCTTGGGGTTCAGCTCTAGCCTTGGGGTTCAGCCCTTTCCTGGGGTTCAGCTCTAGCCTTGGGGTTCAGCTCTAGCCTTAGGGTTCAGCTCTAGCCTTGGGGTTCAGTTCTAGTCTTGGGGTTCAGCTCTAGCCTTGGGTTCAGCTCTATCCCAGGGTTCAGCTCTAGCCTTGGGTTCAGCTCTAGCCTTGGGTTCAGCTCTATCCCAGGGTTCAGCTCTATCCCAGGGTTCAGCTCTAGCCTTGGGTTCAGCTCTATCCCAGGGTTCAGCTCTAGCCTTGGGGTTCAGCTCTAGCCTTGGGTTCAGCCCTAGCCTTGGGGTTCAGCCCTAGCCCCTGCAGGTGAGCCCGACGATGTGCTGTGCCCCGCAGAAGGCCCAGCAGCTGCTCCACCTGTCAGACTCAGAAAACCGCGGGGGGGGGGGGGGGGGGGGGCAGGCGGTCACCTCCGGAGCCAGGCGGTGTGGTGCGGGCCTGCAGCCCTCGCAGGAGCAGCGGTCTTCCCCGACCTCTGTCCACCACTCACCGAACAGCGCGCTTCCCAGACGTGGGGCACCTGTCGATTGGTGAATACGGCTCAGCCGTCGCCATTCAGAATGCGGAAGGCAGAGGCCGCATGGCCGCCTGGACGTAGCTAGGAGAAAGGCTGTCTTCAGGCCTGGGCATTGGAGGCCCTTTGTGTTTAATCTAGCATCAGGAGGGCCTGGTCTGGGGTTGGAGGCATGGATCGGTGGGTAGAGTGCCAGCCCATGAGCAAGGCGTCGAGTGCTGAGTTCCAACAACAAAAAGTAAGAGAAAAGAGGGCCAGGTCTGATTTTCCCGTGGAGCGGGAAATCTGCAAGTCCAAAGTGCTGACCGCAGACTCCACGCTGCCCCCTACCCCAAGGCCCAGCTGCAATCTCCCCCCAAGCCTGCTGCAATCCCCCCACAAGGCCCAGCTGCAATCTCCCCCCAAGGCCCAGCTGCAATCTCCCTCCAAGGCCCAGCTGCAATCCCCCCAAGCCCGCTGCAGGTTCTCAGGAGGTGGACAGTGCCCAAGGGGCCGCTGAGAGCTAGGATGGATCGTGCAGGAGTTTGGGAAGGGGGTGGGGTGGGGCTTCCCCAGGTGGCGAAGGAAGGGACTCTGTCCATGGGGCACTGCGACCCCAGTGGCCCTTCCAAGTCTAGCCCAGAGCTCGGGAGGAATGGACAATGCTGAATTGAGTCTGGCCTTACCAGCTATTATCAAGGGAAATAGTTGGGAGGGGGGTGTTGAATGACAGTTTGCTGCCTTGATTGATAGTAGTGAAGGCTTCCCTTGTGTTCCTGCCCAGACTCACTCCCAAGCAAGCAAACAAACAAACAACACAGGAGTGGACCTGGCTTTGCTGGCGCACTTTTTCTTTTCCAGGGCAGACAGAAACCGAGCTCGTTCTGAACTGCTCAGCTCTGTGCTAGGGTTTGAAGCATGGTGGCTGCAGTATACCAAGAGCTGACCATGCCTGCCCTTTGCTTCAAAAAAGATACAGTAAGCAGAGCCATTTGCTGAAGGAAAAGGCTTGCTTTGGAACTCGCAGTGGGGGGGGGGGGGGGGGATATGGGTAAGTTGCTTATCTTAAAAACCACATTAATCCAGGTGATGAGAAAGCCTTCTGAATTCCAGAACCCCTGCCTGGCTCTTAATGCTCATCTGACCTCCTGTGACCCCCTTGGAACCATGAGCAGCTGGGACTGGCAGGCCTGCCTTCTCAGGGATCATTTTCCTGTGACACACAGTTTCCAAACCTCCTGCAGTTCAGAATCTCAAAGATGGGCTGCTTAAAAAGTTCAGTTTGTTTCTTCTTTTCTTTTCTTTTCTCTCTCTCCTTTCTTTCCTTCTTTCCTTCCTTCCCACCCTCACTTTCTCTTTCTCTTCCCTCCCTCCCTCCCTCCCTCCCTCCCTCCCTCCCTCCCTCCCTTCCTTCCTTCCTTCGGCTAACTTTGAACCATGATCCTTGGATCTCAGCCTCTTGAGTAGCTAGAATTATAAGTGTGGACCATCAGCACCTAGTTCTAGTTTCCTTTATTGTAGCATAGTCTATTTCTTTTGAGTTGAAGGGAGAGTCAGTGACTCCGAAGATAGAAGGGTCATACAGTTTGAGTGGAAAGTTCAACAGGTCTCAATAGTGGGTGGATTACATCTACTGCAGAAGAAACTAGACCCAGAGAAGTTAGTCCATGGCAAGAAATGGTAGATTTGCTCTAGAAGAAACTCCGCTTTGCAATGGGAGTCGGGATCCAGGCCCGGAGCCAGTGAAGCAGGTGTCTGCAGGAGGCTGTTAGCAGACCGTGGTGGTGCCGGGACTTAAGGAGAGCGCGATCCGTGTCCGGCCCAGAAAGGGAAAAGCCGCTGTGTAGAGGAATCGCAGATGCCGGGGTCACATCTCACTGGGAGGAGGTGTGGAAAAGCAAGGATAAGGCTGAAATTCTTCATCAATTCCTTACATTAAAGTAAGGCCAAAAGGAATTCTGATAAGAACAGTGTAGTATTTTGTAGAAAGAACATGTCTGGACTATAGCAATGAACTGAGAGGAAGATGGCATCTTTTATTTAGTATCAAATGAAGCTTGATGTGGTTTTTAATGGGGCTGAGTATCTCCAACTCTGATAGCTTAACTTTGAACATATGCCTTGTCTCAGAACTCTCTGGAAAGAAGAGGAGTTGGTATTTAACTACTCTGGCTATATTTGTTTGCTAAGGTTACCATAATCACATACCAGACTGGGAGACATTTTTTTTTTTAACCATCTCAAGGCCAAGATGGAGGTGTCGGCAGGTTTGGCTTCTCCTTGGCTGGTGGATAGCAGCCTTTTTATGGTGCATTGCACATCCCTGGTGTTTTTTACTGGCTTAGGCCCTACCCTAAAAGCCTTGCCTTATTTTAGCCCCTTCTTTAACAACTTTGTCTCCAAATCCAGTTAGATTCAGAAGCATCGGAGGTTGAGACTCAGCCTATGGGTGGTGACAGCATGACAGACTTCGGCCCTGAGCTCCGTGCAGGGTTCCTGTGTGCGTTCTTAGGCTGGCCTGCCTGGGTTCCAGTCCGGACTCTACCTTTTCTTGCTAAGGACTTCGTCCGCTGGGTGTTTTCCTGGCAGTGAGTGTGTGGTCCGTGCAGGTATCGTGGCTCTCCTGAGCATCTTCGGGCACCAGTGAGGCGTCATTTTCTGTTTCAGTTCACCAGTTGTGGACTGCGTGGCAGTTTGTTCACATTTTTCTGGTAGTGCTTTAACAGACATGTTTGGCTCTGAGATTCTTCTGGGAGGCATCTGGTGATGGTAAAGGGTGAGAATCTGGGGTGCTGTGGGGTACCTCTTAGGGGTAAGGTTACTTTGAGGTTTGTTTGGCGTTATTTTTAAACCAGTTTGAGAATTGTGTTCATTATAACATGGATATTAATATAAAATGGTTAAATGTGGGCTTGGGCCGTTAGACGCTGCAGAAAGGGGACCTGCATGGCTTGCTCTGTGCTGCCCTGCTTCCCTCCGAACGCAGCAGTCCGTGGCACGCTCAAAGACAGAGCCGAGCACCCCTCTCTCCTGCCTTCCAGTCATATCGACTCTCTGAAATACAGACTGGGACGCACAGGAAACGTCACCCATCACAGGAAATGTTACCCATCACCACATTGTCATTTTTTGGTGCATATAAGCAGTTGTGTAAACAGACGCATCCTCATGAGCTAGACAAGTCCTGTCAGTCCAGAAAGTTCCCTGTGTTCCTCAGCAGCCATCTTCCTCCGCCAGATCTTTTTTTTTTTAATCTTATAAGGTAGAAACCCTTTCAAGAGAATAAATATATACGGTTAAGAAGATACAAGGAGCAAGTGTGT